TACTTTGGCTGGATAGCACTTTACACCCTTGTACTCTCAAATGCATCGATTTGCCCCCTTGTACTTTGGTTCGATATCACGTTACCCTCTTCTATTCTCAATTCATCGATTTTCCCCTTTGTACTTTGGCTCGATATCACTTTACCCCCTTCTACTTTCAATTGCATCGATTTGCCCCATGTACTTGAAATATTGTCTCAATGCGGCCCTCACCATTAGTTTTCAGACCTTTGACCTTAACACCGTTTGATCTAAGTTTGAAATTAATGAAAAAAGAAAAAAATTGTGGCTGGCGTCGCGGACTATGTTTTCTCCCTGTCTTGAATTTTTATTCTTTTATTTTTTGTTTTTTATTTATTTATTTATTTATTTAGTTTTTTTTTAATTTTTAATAATTATTTAAACTCAGAGGGGGGTGACATTTTAGTAATTTTCAGACTTAGATCAAACAGTGTTAAGGTCAAAGGTTTGAAAACTTACGACGAGGGTCGCATTGAGACAAATTTTCAAGTACATGAGGCAAATTGATGCAATTGAGAGTAGAAGGGGGTAAAGTGATATCGAACTAAAGTACAAGGGGGGAAATCGATGAATTGAGAGTAGAAGGGCGTAAAGTGATAACAAACCAAAGTACAGGGGGGAAAAATCGATATAATTGAAAGTACAACGGGTAAAGTAATATACATCCAAAATACAAGGGGGAAAGTGAAATTTACCCTTTAGAAAATATTAGATAAATAAATTTGAATTCGAGTTATGTATTCAAGCATTTAGTGGTCATGCCCTTGGTACGAAGGTTTTTTTTTCTTTTCTTTTTTAATTAATGAACCCGCAGTCAACTATGAAGTTGCATTGGGTAAACTACACTAGGCTAGACATAACCACGGTTCGGTTCGGTTCATGTTCCGGTTCTGTTTGGTTCTGATTTTGGAGGAACAAAAACAGAATCGAATATTTCTGGTTCATTATGGTTCGGTTCCAGACGGTTCTCGGTTCTAACCGTAGAACCGGCCGGATCTTAAAAAAAAGTTATTTACTATTTTTTATTATTATATTGAACTTAAAAACACTTTAAAAATAGTGAATTAAAAAAAAAACAGTTGAAAGAATACTTAAAAAACTTAATTTAAAAAAAAAATACGTTAATTTTTTTCAAAAATACTTAATTTTTTTTAAATGCTTAAAAATATATTTTTGTACTTTTAGAAAATTTGAAGGAATTAGTTGTAGTTTTAAAAATTAAAAAAAGGAAAGAAATTAAAAGGGTTTAAAAAAAGGAAAACAAAAGAATTAGCTGTAGTTATAATTAATATTTAATTAAAAAAAAACCCGGTTAGACCGGTTTTAGGCGGTTAGCGGTGGTAAAAATGGGGAATCGAAACCAAACCAATTTTTCCGGTTCCGGTTTTGGTCAAACCGGTTTCGGTTCAGTTAAAAAAAAAAACGTAGACCCCAGTTCGTTTTGTGTTCTGGTTCCGATTCTAATCAAATCGATGGTCATGCCTATACTAGGCTAACTATGTAAGTTAGATATATAAGTGGTGTAGCTTTGTGTCGGCTGGTGATTTTCAGAAAATGGTCATCAACGATATGGATTGATACTTACCAAAATGGTCCATACTCATATCAACCTATTTGGTGGATTTTTTAGTTTATTAGAATTAGGTAGCAGATAGGTTCCTGAGATTTTAGTGGTCATAGGCGAGATCTGAAGACGCTTAAAAAATGGATCTTTTTACAATAAAACTTTGTCTAAAAATATGATAAACTATATGTTAGTTTATTTTCGTAAAATAATAATATAACCAATAAGGGAATTAGGCTTTAGTATGAGGATTGCTAAAAGTTAACGAAGGTTCAGGAGCAGCGCCTTGTGGCGGAGCAAGCATAGTCCTAGGGGCCATCCCAAAAACATTTTTTTAGTATGATTTCACAATTTTTCTATGATTTTTTTTTTTATAATGGATTAAAAATTTAGTGTAGGTGTATATGGATGTGAAAAATTAGATAGATACCGTGGATTTATTATTCAGATATTTAATGTTCAAATAATTTAGTTCTTATTATTCGGAATCTGACCTTTAAATATATACACATTCGATCATTGAAACTAGGCGTGTGAATGTGCCGAGCTCGCCTTTTTTGGCAGGCTCGAGCTCGTCGAGTTCGTTCTTTTTTGGCTCGAACTCTAGCTCGTGCCATTTTGTCGAGCTCGAGCACAAGCTCATTTTTTTTTTTATATTTTTTTGGTTATTATTTTATTATTATTAAAAATTATTCAAAAAAAATTAATAAATAAACAATAAATTGTATATATATATATATTTTTAATATTTATATTTTATTTTTATTTATTTTTATAATATGTTTATATTATTATACATTATTTAAATAAAAAATAATGCATTAAACCTCGAGCTCGTCATAAACCTCGAGTTCGAGCTTTTTTTGAACCGGCTCATCGAGCTCACGAGTTAGCTCGATTCGTTTACCACCCCTAATTGAAACACTTATTAATCACTCTTCTTGATATCTACTTATGAAATTAGTATAATCATTTTTTTATGCCAGATTCGGATGTCAAAATTCTCGTGAAACAGTAATTAATGAATTGAGATTTTTATTTTAGGAATTCAAATAAGTAACTGATACATTATAAATTTAATAATTATAAGTGCCTTATTATTAACGAGAAATTCTAAAATGAAGGTAACAATAGTTGATATTATATGTATTTAAACAATAATTTATATATATATATATATATATATATATATATATATATATAAAGGGTATAAATGTTCTTTGGGGAACCTAAAATGTTTGAAATTGATAGCTCTAGACGATCGCCTACTTCACCTATCTCGAAATCGGCACTGTTAGGTGGACATGAACATGAGGTATAAAGAACCTTGTCTTATTTTTTTGATGTAAAATTTAATCTATAATCTACTTCCTACGCCACATATTAATAAGAAAAGAAAAGGACATATATCTCCTCCACGTTTTTTGGTATCAATCTTGTGGTCCTCATCCTACACGTATGGGAAGATAGATGCTACATCGAGTTTTTTATTTCTTTTGAGTAATCAAGTCGATTACAAGGGGAAGGAAGGGGACTCGAACCCTTGACCGTTACCTTATTGGTAATTGGTAGGTACCAACTCTCCTAATGAGGGTTGGTTACATCGGGTTATTTATACTGGGTGATTGTTAACAATGGATAGAGTCAGTGGTGATGCCAGAAAAAGTTGTGAGGGGGGCTTAAATATATCGGGGGTTTGGGGGCAGAGCACCCGAAAAAAAATTTGCTATCAAAGAAATTTAAGATAAAAATTTGATATGAATTTTTTTCCTCCATTTTCAGAAGATAATACCAAAAGTTAAATTGCTGTAAGAGTCTAAGAAACATGAATATCAACTCGATTATGAAATTTACATAATAGACTTTTAATTAATATTCATTATGAAAATTAAGATGAAAGAAAAGACGTCAAACGTTAATTGATCGTCGGTGTGCGTTCGATCGGCTGTAGGTAGCTATTTAATCACCATTAGTGCAACTATGCAATAAAACAAAGTTTTTTTTTTTTTCCTTTTTCCAAAGAACGAGAACGAAGTTGGGAAATAAAAAAATGTAGACAAGTTAGACATGAAGGGGGCTTTGAGAAGTGAGGCGACTTTGAATAAGTTGGCTTAAATACAGGGGCGTTCCTGAGATTTTTGGAGCCCTAGGCGAGACTTGAAGATGGTTGAAAAATGGGGCCTTTCTACAATCTACGTTAAAACTCTTTCTAAAAAGATGATAAAATCTATGTGAACTCGTTTTTGTAAGGTATATAGCTAGAGGCAAGGCTATAAATTTTCGGGGGTTCGGGGGCAGCGCCCCCGATTTTTTTTAACGATAATTTTCATTAAGTGGCACTAAAACAAGTGTAAATATAGAAAGATAAATAGCTAATGCACTATTATAATTGGGGGCTCCATGATTAGAGGAATTATAGAAATAAGTAAAAATCGTTGATCAATATCTATTCATGGAGTTCGCAATAATTATGCATATAATATATATTTTTTTTAAATAAATACTAATATATAAAGGGTATAAAAAAAATTTGGGGGCCCTAAATTTTTACAAAAATTCGGGGGCCCTAGGCGACCGCCTACTTCTCCTCCCCTCAGAACCGGCCCTGCTTAAATATAGTAAAAGTAACCGAATAAAATAATATAATTAGGTAGGCTAACAAATAATATATATATATATATATATATATATATATATATATATATATATATATATATATATATATATATATATATATATATATATATATATATAT